TTAAGTGTTGCAATGCACGTTGAGAATAAACTAATGCGTCTTAAATTTCACAGTTATCAATTGGTTCAATTTGTGCCCAACAGTTTCATTGCAAATTCATACTCTCCTTCAAAAGTTTTACATCTCGGCGAAAATTCACAAAAATTTATTCATCCTATTTTTTCTTTACTAATATGCATGGCTGCATCAAATGATTCTGGATTAGAACTGTACGACGCTAGAAAATGACAGCACAAGATTATGCTCGCAGCTGAAGTGATTTCCAATCTTGATAAAGCAGTATATCATGAGTCATAGGGACTTAACACAGGGAGTTGTTAGAAGTATTTTGTGATCATGTGTATACGGAGCATCTTCGATGACCATCCTAGATGGAAGAATCCTAGAGAGATAGTGAAATTTTGCGTCAAAGTGGGCAAATATGCCATAGGTATATATTAAAGATAAAGATACTAATAGAAGAAATTTCCTTGAAGACGATCTGAAAGACCTTTTCCAAGAATAAAAAAATACAGAACGATTTTAGAAACTTGTGGCGATGGATCGTCGGAGGACAATCAACGATACTGTAGCCATTGCTGGTGTGCGAAAAACCAGAAATAAAGACGCGGGCGGTATTGCTGCCAGATTTGTTCCTCAACAGCGGACCCTGAACTGATTGCGTTGCGGTGTGCCAACATTTCCATTGAGATGGCGTGGCTAAACCATTTTTCATATCCAGTATGAGTTTTTGACATATTTTTACTGGGAAGAGATATGGACAGATAATGTTCAAACTTAGGTAAGACATTTATTAGCATTAATTTCGTTTTTACATAAATTAAGCAATCTTGAATATTGAAAAAAAAGTTCCGGTAAAATTAATTTCAAATGTTTGAAGGTATAGAAGAAAATCAGAAATAATATCAACTCTTGCTTACATTGCGTTTTAAACATTAGTAACTCAGTCGATGTGCAGATAAAAACTGCAAAGCACTGTTCTAGCTTCAGAAAAGCACCAATTTGATCCAGTGAAAATCATTATATAAGATGTTTAAAATTTCTTATCCCAGTAACTGACTACTTGGAAATTTATTTTCGATTAATCAACGAGTTTCTGAACTAAATTGCAATATTAAATCTAATTAAACATCACTGACAATTATGACGATATTTTCTATTTCAGTTACTGTTTTACTTGAAACAAGTATGCAGTTTGCTTGGATACACAATAAAATTTGTAACTATTCCGACATAATAAATAAAATTCAATAACAATGCTTTTGCACCTCAAAGACAACTCATGCCAAAAACACTGTTGGTAAAAAAGCACTTTTAGGCAAGTCTTTGAGTAAATAGGATCTAATTTATAAAGACTTGATTTCGCTTCAGAACTGTGAATTATTCTGTAGTCAAAACTCAAAAAGAACATTTAGTTTTTCAATTCATCTCTCTTGGAAGCGAAGCTAGAATTGCTTGTTTAAAATTCATAATTAAACGATATACTAAAAATTATGTATTTACTTATGTACAGGATTACGATTAATTGCAGAATGATTTTCTTATGGATAGAGTGATTATAATGACAACTAAATATATATTTTTACTTATGTACAGTGAGATAAATTACCCTATTTAAACCCACGTAGAGCTCGTTCTGGTAGATCAAATTCGTTGAATTTTGAAATTTGGTATATACGTTATATGGAGCACGGAAAAAAGAAAACTACAATAAGAAATAAGTTCTAATTTCGACTACTAGGTGCGAAAGGAGTACATGAAGAACAAAAAGCACAACCTGGAGATAAAACTTTATTTAATCAAAGCATTTGTTCAATGTGCATTGCATTTGCGTCAGTTGCACTTTCAAAGCGTGTTTGTCCAACAGACACTGTACTGTTGGACACGTACACTACTGAGTACGTGTCCAATAGTAGTGCGAAGATTTTTCTCAATCAATTGCAGCAGTATGTTGCAGCAATGGATCTTGACAATGTTTGCTTTCAATTCAGTCATAGCCCAAAAGCTTCTTTCACAGATATGATCTTTCAAGAATCCTCACAACCAGAAATCACACGATTTAAGTTCGGAGAATGAGGAGACCAGTCAGTCGGAAAACTTCTTGATATTCCTGATTATCTCCATATAGGGCACGAAACAGTGCCTTCATTGGTCCGGCAATGTGAAGTAGTACACCATCTTGCACGAAGACAGTAGTCTCTTCACTTTTTCCTTCTTATAAGGCAAGAATGACCTGCTGCTGAAGAAGTTGGCTGTGACGGGAGCACCGGTGGTGGAATATCTTGAGGGCCTTGAGGAATGTTCTCCTCAAAGTAAAAGGGATCAAAAATGAAATCGGCAGTAAATCCGCACCATACAGTAATCAGGATGCAGAGATCATTGATGAACATTAGAAATAACTGTATCCTATATGAGATAGTGTAGTAACTTATCCATCTAGGGTAAAATGCAACTCTTCCCACCACAAAAGTTTCGAAGGCTGTGCCTTGTTAGCGGCTATTCAAGCCAAAACGAAGGGTAGCAAAATCCGTGCTTTCGTCCAGGTCTGCAGGGTGCCACTTTATAATGGATCGCAGAACCTTTCGTACCATCGATCAAGGGACACACAAATCGCATAATAATGTTCGAGTACTTGCCGAAGAATATAGGGAGCCGGATGTCCTTTTGACAACAGCAGGAGCGACTCCTTCCGTACTTTTATTTGAAATCCTTTCTGTCCCCTTCTTCGCAGCACACACACCTCCCTAGTCTCTTGAAATTTAGAAATAATCTTTTACAAATTCTGCGTCGACATAGGTTGTTTTCGTAATTGTTTCAAGCTCCGATATTCTCATAGTGCAGTTGAAATATTACTGCCGTTCTGTTAAACTAACTTGATCAGTACAGCTCGATCTTTCTTCTCTAAAGGCATGGTTAAGAATAATTTTATGGCATTGATTATTGTCTTTTTAACCCTCTAAGCGGCAGAGCCGTATATAGATACGGCCTAGAATGTTTTCTTGTGGTATCTGTAAGAACGTGCCTATTAAGATATGCCAAAGAAATTAAGGCAATATATCAAAAGTAGAGAATTCCAGGTACGAAATACCAGTGTTTTTACATTAAAATAAAAAAAAAATTGTTCTCATAGTAGGGAAATTTGTGCTTTCTTAGCAAAAACACTGGCCGCTCAGAGGGACGCTCCAAATTTGCATAAAGTCCTTTCTGCATTTCATTAAAAGTGTCATCTGTCTATCGAAATTTGAACTATTAATTTTTACTACAGAATTCTTTTCTGCATGGTCCCCTTATTATACCAAGTTTAAATGAAATACATCTACCCGAATGGTCTCTACGTAACTTAGGTCTAAATAGAGTAAGTTTAATTACAACCACCCTATATTTAGTTTTGTTTTTCCTCTTCTGATGCTGTTTTTCTTCGTTAATTAAAGAGAATAATGAACGATTACGAAATGAGGAATTTCTGAACGATAGAAAACGAATGAAACAACCTACAACATGAAATTGTTCCACAACCACCTAAACCATATAATATGCCCTTGAGATCAGAAACTAAACAGTTGTAAAACAGCTGTCATTCTTTTCAGAACAATATTTTCAGCTTGTTTTACATTTTTTTAATGATTCTTGGAATTTTTGCATTACTTGCTTTTTAAAAATTGCGTCGCCAGTTTTATTCTTTATTAAACATTGATTTTAGACAAAAACCGACATTCTGTATCGTGTAATTAACATGTGGCAATGTATATCTTTTTATTAAATGTAGTAACACAGAAATTTCTCATAAGAATTATTGACTGGTATAATATAGACAATCAGATATATTATTAAAAATAAGATTAAAATACGTTTATTGCACTCCAGTCGCTTAGTATGTCTGATTAAACTTGAAAGTAAATTCAAATTTTTAGGTTTTGTTGAAAGCAATGCGCGAGGCTATGAGGAAGTTAGTCGCAATGAAATTTGTGATGTTGAGTGGATGATATATACTAAAGCGTAACAACGTAACCAAAGTGATGGTCCTAATATTTTGGGAAGATCAAAGCATTAAAGAAATACTCTATTTTGAGCAAATTAATTGCCTCGGTGTTGGGAAGCAAAGGATTTCCAGTTTTTCATCTAAACCGACACATTTTTTTAATAAACTAAACTGATATTAAAGATTTAATTTTGCTTTAAAAAATTACACCCAATACGTCAATCAGCGCAAGAACTTGTACGCGTCTTTTATATAGGATGTTTCAAAAAGCTGTGGAATAAATAAAAGGTAAATAATAAAAAAAAAAAATGATTGCTCTCGTATCCACTGTCATTTTTTTCTTTTCATTCCTTTTTCTATCTTTACTTGTAGTTTTCCATGTATTATGTTTGAAAATGTCCAAGTTGCGGCATGGACCTTTATGGTAAAATTATTACACCATTGAAATTATTTGCCATTGAAGTATGAGCACTGATATCGGCTGTGGCATTGCTTTGCTTCTCCGTTAATGACCGAGACTCGTCGATACTTTTAATACTTAGTGGCACTGTAGTTCTGTATCCGAGATAAATCTACTGCAACCTGTATTGAGTTTAGGGCATTCAAATAACGTGGTAAAACTTTGAAGCTTTTAAAAAGTTAATGTTAAAATGTGGTTCTTTACCAACTAAATCTTTTGCTGAAATCTCAGTATTAAAATAAAAATTTCGAAAGCAATTAAAATTTGGACAATCAATTAAAATGTGTTTAAAGGTTAAAATAGTGCTACATTCAGCACATGCTAGTTAAGCTTCGCCCATCAATAGATATCTGTGTGTTAGCCTTGTGTGACCGATTCTCAATCGGGTCAGAAGGACCTGTTCCTTTCGGTTTAGGGCACATTTCCAATGTTCTATTTTAGGTTTTGTATTTCGTAAGCTATTGGTTTACTGCACATCCCAGCTTTTGCCATTTCATCAGAATTTTCCTCCCATGCAGAAACGAGGTTCGGGTTAAAGAGAGTGGTAAAATGAAGTCTTACCTGTTGTCGCCATGATGGCGAGTATTTCTCCTCCCCGGGCTTCGAAAGACAGGCCCTCCAACATCCTAAGTTTCGTTCGAGCTCCACCGCAAAGTGTGTGCCAAGCCGAAGACATGTCCATCTCGTAGCTGAGGTCTCGGACCTGCAGATGGGGGTACCTGGGCAAACCCGCTTCGCTAGGAGCTCCTGGCAAGGTCGAATAATAACTGTCTTTAGGGAAGAACCTCTCGTTCAACATCGGTGCGTCATGGTAGAAGCCATCCATCTGACGAACAAATACATTGGTAAGGATAAGGGGAAACACAAAGATATGTGAAAACAACGGAAACGAGATCAACCATCAAATACGGATCTCATTTTCACATTCTTCATTCATTTTCTTTCAAATGGTATAAAAGTTACTTGGAATATTATGTAATAAATTTAGAGAAAACACTTCTTATAAATTTTAATTGTACAGTTATGAAGAAATAAAGTTGTCACAGAACCCTCCGCACTCACCAAAGAAGAGACAGAAGGTATAGATCGAAATTATTCCCAATAACAATAAACACACTTTTGCTTAAGTCGGGAAGTCCTAGCCTATTCGTTCGCTGGCTTCTGGAGGACTTAAGAAAATCTGTCTAAGGGGACAAACATCTTCGTGGAGGACTTAAGAAAATCTGCCTAAGGAGACAGACATCTTCGTGGAGGACTTAAGAAAATCAGGAAAGTTATCCAGCTTTGATGCAGGCTAAGTACACAAAGGTTCCAAATCATTAATTTTAATCTCAGATAAATAACCTACAATCACGAAACCTGTGTAATTGATAGAATATATTAAATATTAACCGCCAGAATTAAGTAAATAATTGAATCTTACAAATAGGTAAGGTAGGTGAAACAGAATTTCACAATATTTTATTTAAATTAATTTAAAAAGAAAATGATTTCAATATTAACCGCCAGAAGGTTAAAAGCAAATCTTACTGTCAGTATCCAGAGAAATCTTCGACCAAACCGATTTTAAAAGTGGACTTGAAACATTCTGCCTCGACTCTAGGATTAATTCAGCATTCCATACGCCAAAAATTTATTAACTTGGGTATTCAAATGAAGTTATTAACTATCATATCTTAACAATTTTAAATGTTATTGTCTAGCATCAGTTTCAATATATTATTTTTCCCCGATTTATTTCTTACTTTATGCACGGTAAATAAAACAAATTATTTTTAATGTCTATTCCATCAACAAGAATTATAGATTTCTTTAGCCTAATTTCATTTATTCATGTATCATCATTATCCCTTTGACTAGTAACGGGACTGTTTCACTAAAAGTCTAAAAATTACTACTGGGTTAAAGAGTGCTTACAATCTCTTGAATGTTGGAAATCAACTTCCAATAATTAGAAAACCAAAACACCGCTGTGCTCGTTGTACACAAATAAACAAAGAAAAGAACATATACGAGTTTCCCATTTTCCAGAATTTGTTTACTTAGTAAATCGATCGGTCCGTGTGGGACATATGTGTCTCAACCTTTGACTTGAAAACCGTTTGTCAAGTCCCAAATGCTAAAGTTACCTTATTTATGACATATTTAAACTGGATTTTGTTAAACTGGATTGAAAACAGCGTAATTGTTTTTAATTCGTAGTCCAAGTGTTAATGTTAACATCCATCTACATTCATCAGTTACATCCTCGTAAAATATTTCTTGGAAACTTTATAAAAATATTTATATAAAATAATTGATTGATCTTTGGATTATGGTAACTTAACGATTTTTGCTACAGCAACTTTCTTTTTTTTTTTTTTCGCCGCCATTTTGTCTTCACGAAGTAAAGACATGTTTCTTTTCTTTTTATTTACTCAACACTTTTTCCAACAATCTACTAGCCGAATTACACTTATGCTAGAAATTTTATGGAACAAAACTGCTTAATCATGACAAATATTAACTGCAAAATTGGGAAAAAGTGCAGAATCGCAAACTCCTTGCCGCGTTTTTCAAAATCGCACATACACAGTAACCATGTACACGTCGACTTATTTTTACTTAAAAAAACATCCCAGAATTGCACAAAAAATGGCATTGCGCACACTCTTGACTTTATCCATCTAAAACTGCTATTTTCTCATAAATTACAAAAATTTTGCACGAAAATGCAGGAAATTTTGTGAATCTTTAAACTCGGTAAAAAGCACATATATATGAAATTACCTGATCGCGAAAAATTATATACCCTATCCAAGGATGAACATTTCCACGTATAACATAAATAAAATATCCAAAAACTTTTACCTCTAAATTATCTATTATAAACGTCACTAACGAATTCATAACAAAACATTAAAAATTGTTACAAATACTTAGTGTCAAATATTTAAATTATTTCCATGCACGTTTACTTCCACTGAAACGTATATCAAATTGCTACAAACATAATTCACAAAATAACTATCATTTAATTAAAATATAATTAAACCATGTACACATCGACTTATTTTTACTTAAAAAAACATCCCAGAATTGCACAAAAATGGCACTGCGCATACTCTTCACTATATCCATGTACACTGCTTTTTTCTCAGAAATTAGAAAAATTTAACGAAAATGCATGAAAACTTTGTGAATCTTTAAATTCGGTAAAAAGGACATATGAAATTACCTGATCGCGAAAAAGTATATACCCTTTCCAAAGATGAACATTTGCACGTATAAAATAAATAAAATATCCAAAAACTTTTACCTCTAAATTATCTATTAGAAACGTCACCAACGAATCTATAACAAAACATTAAAAATGGTTCCAAATACTTAGTGTCAAATACTTAAATTCTTTCCATGCACATTTACTTCTACTCAAACGTATTCCAAAATACTACAAACATATAACTCTCAAAATCACGATCATTAAATTAAAATATAATTAAATTAAAAACACTACTTAAAATATAAATAAGCACATACATTAAATTAATAAAAATTAGCTTACAATACTAATTACTTTAAACTAAATCATTGCTAATAACAATTTTCCAATAATACCAAATTAATTTATTTACTCCTTACATTTAGAACAAAGCATAAAAATAATATCATCAAATAATTAAAAATACTAACTTACCTAATCTTCTACAGAATCTTGAGTGCATGGCGGATCACAAAATGTCCATTTTCACCAGATTTCTTGCACCGCCATTCAAACTTATCTAACGCCATTCAAACTATGTGTAATATCCTTCCTTTCACACAATCTCATTTCATACCCACATGTTGGACATTCATACGTATCCGCAATTAAGCAATTCTTTTCAATTACACATAAACGGAACAAAAATTTCGGATTTACTTTATATAGGGCCATGGGATCCAAATATTAAACAACACTGTTTCACAGAACATAGAATGCAACTAATGCTGTACAGCAGATATTTTAACAAATTTACACCCTTTTCCGATTAAAGAACAGTGATTCGTCCATTAATGTCCCATTAATGTCACATGAAATATCTCATGATCTGTCACTTCCCTCACATGAAATAATGCGTAATCGGAACTGAGTACTTCTCACATTATTCCCGAAGTCCTAGGTAGTAACCTTTATCGCCTCCAAAATGTCGCCAAACTACCTGTTACCATATTCCAAAGATCAGCCAAATAGGTCAACATATATTTCTTAGCAAAAATATTCATAAAAATTGGAGCCTAAGGTTAAATGAGTACAGCCTTTCTCCTCTCGTAAAAAAAACACTTATCTACAAAATTTTTATTTATTTCTTTTTATCATAAATCTTTCAGCACAAAATGAACAATGGAATAACTTAATAGTGTCAGATTATTTAGTCTCAAAATGTTTCAGATTTGTATGATAATTTAAGAGGATACCGCAGTCAGAAATGAAATTACAGAGGTAAAAAAAGTAACAGGAAAAGTTTCAAAAGGATAATCACCATCTTTCATGTACTTAATAACAAGCAAAAAATTCTGAAGTTCATTTACATGATTCCAGTAATAACATTTCAAAGAATTAGTAACAAACGTAAGCCTCATCCGATACGTAATACATTCCAGTACCTAATTCTGTCTTTATGATAATTACCAAACTTTATATAAGCATTAAATATTATTTAGAATACAAGATCTTTCTGGATAACATCTTAGACGATGAGGTTAAAAAATTAAATACATAGCAAAATCACGTACCTTTCCGTGGGCTCTGTGAGAATGATTGGGTGACGTTCTGGAATTGACGGACAAGTGGGATCCGGCCTTCGATCCGGGCGGTGCAAGGTGTCCGTTACCCGGCATCGGATTCCTCTGATAACCTTCTCTGGCGTCTTCCCGCGCTTTGAGCGCCTGCTGTCGCGTGAGAAGTCGGTTGTCGACCGAGAGAAGATCAGCTTCGCTGCTCGCCTTGAGGCGTTGGTGGGCGCTCTTCCTGGTGCTCTCGGATTCCCCTGCAGGGGTGGCCGGAATCACGTGGTTCCGAAAATCGGGGTCGCTACGGGTTCTCCGGTTCCGGTTCATAAAGGGTGATCCGCCGTTGTCGTCGCTGGAGTCATAGCCGCTGGAACCATTCCGGAGCGGTTTGGGATTGGCATTTTGATTCGGATTTACCGGATGGGGCAGGACGCGAGGTAAGCCGAACTGGAGGTAGGTGAAGACGTTCGAACCGAGTTCAGAATTTCGCTCTCGAGGTCCGTACTTGGGATGATTGAGGATAGTCTGCACTGTACTTTCCCGTAGCCGGAAGTTGCCGAAAGGGGGCTGGGATTTGTGTCCCGTATCTGGGAAAAAATTACAGATAAGAAAGTGTTAATTGGCGTAATACATTTTTCCCATAGCAATTCATGTTGCTATTTATATCAATATCTGAAATTATGTTTACTCTACATAGAGAGGTAAGCAGAGATATCATGAAAGAAGAATGAAAAAATAAATGACAAAGCAAAGTAAATTTTGCAACCTACTTAAACCTTGTTAATGATATGCTTAGATGAAATATTTATCCTTAATGCACGAATCAAAAAGGCTATTATAGACCTTTTTTGGCTTTTATGGATACATTCAAATCTACAAAGTTTGTACCAAATGATAAATGAGTTATCAATTTATATGAATTACACGCAAAGTTTCCTTTCAGAATCACAAACGTACATATACGCATTTCATAGAGCTTTATATTAGGATAAAAATCCAACATATCAGAGACAATTCAAATATTCGAAAAATCCGAATAATTGGGTTCTTATTTTTATCAATAGGCCAAATGTGTTTTAATTGTAATGCAAGTGAGGGAATTTTACTTCACCATTTATTATCAGAATTTATTCGGGTAAGAGAGTGAGACAAAAAAATTAATAAATAAATAAATTAACTCATACTCAGGAGAAAAATTTTTGTAACGTGACTTAAAAAAAACTGATAGAATATAATTAGGCTCCATATTGTAAGACAAAAATTTCTTACGCGGCGAAAGACCTGATATTAAGTCTTCTCATTTGTTTAATATATCTTTAGATAATCTGTTTAATCTGCCTTCTTATAACTGAGCAATACTAGGGGAATAAGCATAAAATATAACACAGTAGATAAACTCTTTTTTATTAATATCTACCGAACAATGTAGTTCAATTAAAATGTTCTACAGATTGTTGAAAATTGATAAAAATTAATTTTCTAGTTTTCTAAAAAATATGTGCAATATATTATTACCCTTTCATATTACTAAATAAATGGAAAAATCAAAACCACGTGAATACAAATTAGCAATAAATTTAATATCAGCTGGTCTATAAAAGGGAATATACGATACGAGTAATAGGAACTGCGGATATCTGGTGTCCGGATAACATGATCTGCTTTAGAAAAGCGCAGTAGAATCCAAAAACGAATTGACCTACACATTACATACTAACGCACCAACACAACTGTTCATCAAAGTACAAATGATAAGAAGATATTTTTTAATTTAGTTTTTGCTTCGATACAGTTTTGTCTTTCGTGAAAAGGGTAAAAACAGAAGCAAATTATAAGCAATACACATGTGCATTACGAAATGGAATGATGATGCTGGATTTCATATTCCTTTCCAGTTTCTTTTACAAAATGTAAAGGCAGCGTTCAATGTTTCTGCATTTTCCGGTGTTATAAGACTTATTATAAAAGCATTAAAAACTAATATTAGTCTGAATGTTGATGACAGGCGGGAATCAATGTTCATATTCAGTGGCTGAAAATTTCTGCTACATTCAATGTTTAGACATTAAACAGGGCCCACCAGCGGCCGAGCGGTAAAGTCGCTGAACACTGGTAGTTCGGTCCGAGGTTCAAATCCCGCGAACAGGCTGGCTGCATGGGCGTTTTCGTAGTTTTCCCCATGTGTAACGTGTATACGAGCCAGTTTCCCTTAGAAAGTCCTCCTCTTAGGCAGATGGCCCAGTGTGCTTTGCCATAATTAAATAAACCAAACCAACCTAGACATTAAACCTCAAAATTCCTAATATAGAAGAAATATTCTATAAAATTTATAAGCGGACTGCGTCTTTTTAGAAGCACATAGTTCGTAGTTTGACAAAAATGAGAAAATTATTTTCAGACAATTCGTTCATTAAATCATAAATTTTATAACAACTTTAGGTGCTTATAGTAATAACGGTTTTAATTAAATGTTATGCACAGACAAGGGGGTCTCAAGCGGGTAGGACCACTGAACATTGGTAGTTCGACCTGGATTTAAATCTCGGTGAACGGGCTGGATGCATGAACATTTTTTTTTTTTATTTTGTGATCCCTCTCTCTTGTAATATGAACACGAAACAGTTTCCCTTAGAATGTCTTTCACGAAAGCATCTTTCCCTTTGGGCACATAGCCTGTAGTGTGCTTTGAAATAACCTGTTAAATCAAATTCTCCCCAAAATGGAGAAGTCTAGCCGTTTATAGGCGTTGGCCACTACTAAGGCCAGAAGCAGTGGTCTCTCATCAACGGAGGCTACTGATAGGTGTGGGCCACTGCTTCCTCTTATGAAAGAATGGAAAAATTACATACATGTCTTCTTCGGGATTCGAATCCGGGCCCTTCGGTACGGCAGTCAGACAAACTAACCACTTTCCGTTTGGGGGAGGTTAAATTGAATCCTAAAACCAGGTTTTTGCGTGCAAAAAACAAGCTCACAGTAGTAAATCAATATTATATTGCGTAAGAAGCCCTTTCCTGTAGTAATAGGTTTTTATTAATGTACACGATTTTGAAACATCTATCTTACCCACGTAAATTTCAAGAAAACGTTTTGTATTACTTCATTACGGCGAAAAATATGAAGGTCATTTAATTTTCTGGAAGGTTTGCATTCATGAAGGACCTTTAAAGAAAACTAGCCAGTGTTTCCTTTAGCACTCGAGAAATGCCAACGAAATTCTCATACAGCCATTCCATTCCACAGCCGGAAGCAGAAACTGGCGCGAAACAGCAGTGTGTTACAGCTTTATTTCGCCCACATTTCGGGTTTAAGTGGGCTATTGATGTGAAATAACCATTTTCAATAATAATTAAAGATTCACCAAATTTCACCAAAGAGACCTAATACATATAAAACCTAATACATATAATTAATTTCACCAAAGAGACCTAATACATACAAAGATGCGATCCCGAAATATGTTGCATACGTACTTTCATAATATTCTGTTGAATATAATAACCGATCACATGAATCAGCAAATTAAAAGAATGACCACCTGTTGTCCAGTACTAGACACTTGCATGTAATGTGGTTCACCTTGACGTTCGGATGAAAGAATCTGTTACTCAACTTGCTTTATTTTGATTATGATGGATATGATGTTTCGACCAAGTAATAATCCGAACGCATGTTATTGAAATGAGTTCAGGTCAGACTACAAGGCTGAACCGTAGAATGCGAACTGTTGTTGATTCAGTTCGGAGAAAGTTTCAATTCAGGGAAAATACTTTCAGGGTGAATGGATCTACTTTTCTTTTTGTGTACGAATTATGCGAAGTCAGCTGAGGAAAATTACTTTTCAATAAGTTTCGTTTTTACTTCACTATACACTAAAAAATAAACTGAGAGAATGATACTTTGTAGAAACGTGAAATAATTAAATGTTTCTCTCAGAATCGCAAGCAACAGAATTTTTACATGCTTATACCGGGAAAAAAAAAAACTGAAAACTTTCAGATTTTATATTACGTATAAAAGGGCGTTTTTCTTAACATTTTGTGCGTTACATTTATTTAATAAATATAGTGTTCTTCGGACTTAAACCATCAAATTCAATTCAACAGCAATACCACAAAATATTTAAAAGGAGCATATGTTTAAAATTTCCGATACTCAGTCTCGAGCGCTAGAGACTTTTTTTTTTTTTTTTTTTTCGTGCAGTGTTGCCATAGCTCTCTTTGAAATCGTTGAGTTTGTTAATCAAAAATTCGTCAGTTTTAAAAAAATGAAATAGATAATAAAACATATTTCTAATTCCGCCTTCCAGATGCTTATACTTGAGTGGAGGACTACGTTATTCAACATTTCTCTACGCACCGTTGTTTTTTTCACAATGCAAGAAATATACATGCATTCATGTAGATTATTCATTAATTTCTTTAAATATAACGCAGGGCTGTAATATGTGGTGGCATCAATTCGAGAAGTGACACTCTGTTTTATAATGGACGACGCAAAATGCCAAAACGAAATTAATAGCCCTTCTGGGCAAATTACCCCTTTGCGCTAAAACTTCAGCATTTAGAAATGCATGCTTCTAATGTACTGGTAGAGAACTGTTAGTATATGTAATTTCCAAAGTTACCTTAATGTGCTTATGTTCTTTGTTCAAGGTTATGTAAATTTAAGATTATGGTATACTATTTCATGTTTTAAATTAAATTCATCTATCGTCAGAAGGCTAAAAAATTGCAGCTATAAAATAAAGAATACCTCGAAGTTGCAATTACGGAAAAGCTGTCTTTTTTTAAACTGCCGGAATTCTGTGTAATTTTTACAGTTGACGTTTAAAAATAATGTAAGTGACAGAATGTAATTTTGGTTTTTCAGCCAGGTAGAACAAGTGACAGAATATAAGAATTCTTGAGTAATCTAACAAGTTGCTGCTCCTTAACCTGTCAAATATATATAACAAAGCAGTAATAAATATTAATATTTGATTATAAGGATCTATTCGTTATTGAACTGAGAGTTCAAGTGGGTCTTGGACAGCAGTAAATTTCCACTTTAAGAAGATTAAATATTTTCGATTGGGAAACTTAAAAATATTTAAAATGATCTGAAAGGAAATTAAAATGATCAAAAATTATTATTTTCTACTGTAAGGACCTTTTCTTTATTTTAACCAATTATTTTTAGTTTTACTTTTCTTTCCGTCTTGATTTCAGTTTTCTACCGGAATGTAAATTTTAAATGACGTAATATGCTAATCTAAATGTATTTCAGAAGCAGTATTTGAGTTGCGTTTCAAGAGCTCGAATAGGAGTAGTAGCGATGTTAGCTCCGAGTTTGAATTCAGCTCTTTAGTCGGGATTCAATTTATACTGATATTTCTAGGCTCCGCATTGCTGCAGCCGATTTAGCGTTTAGTTAAGCCAGTTAGTTAGCCACAAGTGGTGGTGAGTGTTGAGCACCAAGTGCGTGCATATGTTTAATTTAGTTTTAATAAAAAGGTTATTTCAAATCTTCTTCTGCGGCATTTATTCTTCCAAGACATAGCTAGTATTCGCTACTTCGTCTTTCGTCTTCTACGTAGAGTCTATATTTTATGCTACCCCCCCCCAAAAAAAAATCGACTCTACGCTACAAATATTTTTTTAATTTTATTTATTTATCATTTTGACGAGGTAGGAAAAGTAGAATAAATTTAGAATGAAATTATTTTTTACCAACATTCTAGAAGACAGATTTATGTGTATTGGAGAAAAAATATTTGTGAACTAGATGCTTGGTATTCTAAAAATGGAACAATGTCGATAAAATATTACAGTATTTTAAACGATGTTCCAAAATTAAGGCAAGATTTGAATTTGGCGCCGTTTTTGCATTAAGTTGTTGGCAACCCTGAAAAAAGAACAGTTTGAAAGCCGAGAGTTTAGGGTTAGTGAAAATGGAGCGTTATACGATACAACAACGTGTCTTAGTTATTCAACAATATTTTTAAAATAATAAAAGTTTGGCTGCCGGTTCGAAAATGTTATACAAAATATGGTAAAAATAATGTTTTAACCTCGTCAACTGTGAAAAGATTAATTGAAAAATTCGTGGAGATTGGATCAACTGAAGACGTTAAACACACCGGGCGTCCAAAAACAAACCGTTCAAATGTCAATATTGAAGCAGTGCGGGAGAGTGTTGGTTAAAACACAGGAACATCAATTCGGCGTCGTGGACAAGAATTGCAAGTCTTACGAAGCTCTCTACAGCGTATACTCGCTCACCAGCGGCCGAGCGGTAACGTCGCTGAACACTGGTAGTTCGGTCCGAGGTTCGAATCCCGCGAACGGGCTGCATGGGCGTTTTAGTGGTTTTCCCGATGTGTAAAGTGTATACGAGCCAGTTTCCCTTAAAAGTCCTCCACGAAGGCATCTCTCCCTTAAGGCAAATAGCCCTCGAGTGATTTGCCGTAATCTAATAAACCAAACAGCGTATACTCACAAAAGATCTGTGTCTTCATTCTTACAAAATTCAATTAACACAACAACTGAAGCCTAATGACCATGAAATAGCGAAGAGAGTTCGTGGAATGGATTATTAACCATCAAAAAGTGGATGCTGGTTTTTCGAGCAAAATAATCCTAAGCGATGAAGCACATTTTCACCTCTATGGCTTTGCTAATCGCCAAAATTGCCAGGGTTCGGAGACTCACGTGTGATTAGCGAAAAACAAATGCACCCACAACGTGTCACTGTTTGGTGCGGATTTTGGGCAAGAGGCATCATCGAACCATACTTTTTTGAGAATGAGGCTGGTCAAGCAGCAACTGCTAATAGTGCTCGATATCGAGACATGATAACACGGATTTTTCTGTCGAAATTGGATGATATTGATGTGGCCAATATGTGGTTTCAACAAGACGGTGCCACATGCCATACAGCCAATGAAACAATTCAATTACCTGATCGTGTAATCTCTCGTTTCGGTGATCAGAATTGGCCCCCTAGATCATGTGATTTAACACCATTAGGTTTCTTTTTATGGGCTTATTTGAAATCAAAGGTCTATGTCAACAATCCCACAACCACACGTGCATTACAAGAGGAAATTAAACTCTGCATCAACGAAATTCAACCACAATTATGCAGGAAGATCACGAAAAATTTCGACGAAAAAGTGCGTATGTGCCAGCAAAGCCGTGGAGGCCATTTGCTCGATGTGTTATTCCATAAATAACCCTATCCTATGTACTTTACGATTCACTTAAAAAATAAATTTCTAAAAACTCTTTTATATTGAATTAAAATCTTGCGTTAACTTTGTGACACCCTTTAGTACTTCGTAAGGGTTTTATTTTTCCATTGACTTAAAGCGAGACTTTTCCAAAGCCAGGGCGAGACGAGACAATTTATGAGACGGTGGCACTTTAAAGCACAATCTTATTATTTAAAGCAATACTCCAGGAGACTAAATTTGCGGAGCGAAAACAATAACACCCGATTTCGAGTGTTAATGAAATTTTTTACATAACAGTTTAATTATTTTGGGATAAAAGCCTATTCTTTATCCATCGTTATTAAATGCACTTAAAATTATGAGAATTTTTTGTATGTAGAAATGGAAATATTTTTGCTTAAAATTTTTTTAAGAAAAAAAAACAAACTTAACGTTAATTAATATAGTTAATTAAAAACACATATTACATGCTTTGAAAATAAAGAAATCAGCTACCTACGTGAAAACTCTGACTCAAGGCCGAAAGTCATTCTACTTTCAGTTAATTTTATCTGATTTAACACTCCAATGCTCGTGCCTTATCCGAGACACTTGACTCATTTCTGACTTTTGTTTTTGTAAATCAGCATCCTGCTTTATTTTTACATGTTTAGAACTAAATATTACGTTCTAAATATATCTGATGTATTCAATTTTCTCTTACATAGCAATAGTTTTTTTTTTAACATTTATCTATCAAGATTTGAAACTTACTTCAGATATTGCGAAAGTAACTGTTTATCTGGCGGCGCAAGAAATGAAATACTATCAATTTACAATTTATATACAATATTATATTTTATTTAATTATATTTAATTATTAATTATTATTTATTAATATTTATTAATTATATTTAATAAATTGTATATTTACAATATACAATTTATTAAATCTCTTGTGTAGGCTGCTCATATAATATTTATTCTAATGCAAGTGATGTAATTTTATTCTTGGATTATAGGGTTTTATTTCAAGAAAATTTACAGAATTAAAATTATTCACTCGTATTTTTACAATCCTTCCTCCCAAATATTAAAAACAGAATTCTTTTTTAATCTGCCAATACACGCAATCATTTTCGACTTCAACGAAAGTAATTAAATTTGAAGCACTTGGATTAGGATTATTCAATTATGGCAAAGCACACGAGGGCTATCTGCCTAAAGGGAGGGATGCCTTCGTGGAGGATTTTCTAAGGGAAACTGGCTCGTATACACGTTACACATGGGGAAAACCACGAAAACGCCCATGCAGCCAGCCCGTCCGCGGGATTCGAACCTCAGACCGAACTACCAGTGTTCAGCGTCTTTACCGCTCGGCCGCTGGTGTGCTGAAGCACTTGGAAGGTTCACCTGAATAACCACATGTATACAAGAAAACTACAAATTTATCTATCTACACGATTTTACAGGAAAAAATACTTTAAGGATTGAGAGTCTCAAATTATTACAAATTTTGATTAAAAAACATTGCGTTTGGGTTAATTTTTTATTCCCGAAGGAAATGTACAGCAATTTTTTTACGTATATTTTACGATTAAAGTTTCTATTTAGTAACGATTCTCAACAAAGATTAATGCCGAAGTACTATTAAAAATAGGATTATTTAATGGCTTTGATTTACTTCAACTCAAACATAATTTTACAAAAAATTAAAAAGCAATCCAGAAGGTTTCTAGGTAATTATGTCTTTCCAGACTTTCTCCAATTTTCTATTGTATCTTCGGGATACACTGGATTTTTCATGATGATCAAAAGGGTACAGTCAATGAAAATTCTAATAATTATTACTCATGTGATTTATAAATAATAAACTGATAATATTAATGCAACTTTTGAGAAAAATATAGCATTTGTAAATATTAAAAAATTACAATATATAAGTAGCAACGTAATGATACTAATTATAAATAAGAAGTTAATAATGCAAAACGTTGTTTATAAACAATAAAATTAAGAATATATTTTACTAGCAAAGTAATAAAAGCTGACATTTAATTACCGAATTCGATAATTAATAAATTAAAATTTAAAAACAGGCATAAGCTGAAAATGGGTCTAATTGTACATGATTTACTTAAAAGTCACATGGATTATTCACACATTTCAGTGCAACAATTTAGTGAGATGTTCCAAGCGAATAAATTTTAATTTGCAGACAATTAACATTTTATTGGTGCCATGCAAAATTTGTAATATACATAAATTTATATTTTTTGGGAACACGTTTCAAATACTTAATATAAACACCAAATTTTTATGAATTTTCATTTAAAATATTTTTACTGAAAATAAGATGCTATGCAGTTTATTTCCCAGTTTAGCTGAGATCATACCAGCGCATGATCATTACTTTTACCGTTTTTACTAACGACGCATTATATAAAATCTGAATACACATACCTGTTCCACATGAACACTGAGTTGGATCTATCATAGCGAAAATTACATTGCATGAATCCTCCATTCAAAAGCTTATGTTTTATAGTATAGTAATAATTTAAAACATTCACACTATTCCTAAACTCTCCGCAAACTTTGATATCTAGTTCTATTATCAAAACTGCTCTAGAAATTTATCATAGATGCGCATAGAGCATTATTTCAGAATAAGCATCTGCTTCGGAGGAATCCAAATAAATGAAAAAATAGTTGAGAATGGCTTGAAAACTAGAATAAATCTGGCACGCACAAATCTAAAATTCCTTGCTCTCTATACCCACATTTTTTTTCTGTATCCGGTATGATAATGAAACTCAAAAACAAAGGTTAAATTCCATAAAATGCACGAAAATGCAATATTAAATAATAATTACCTAAGGCGCTGTCCGTGAAGTCGGAATTGAGGTTTTGGCGATAGATGCTCCATGCATGCAAGTCCTCCGTTGTGCGGTATCTTCCCGAGGGGTCTGAAAGTGTGCTTGGCGGCACGGAATATCTACGCTCCATGGTACTCATCTCCCACATGATAGTCTAAAAAGGAAAGGAAACATATGAGCTTCAAGTAAATCTCCCGATTTAATGCCATAATTAACTTTTGGAATATTAAATCAACTGCTAGTCATAACTAATCATTCAGATTATGCTTACACAACACAAAATTCTACTACTAATTAAAATTCTTAAAAATAATCAAGTGTGAAATAACTATTAATATTTGTCTTAAAAGAACAGACATTAAATACTCAATCTAATTATCGTCCATGTAAATGCCCCAGCGTTTATATGGAAAGCAATGTTCTAGAGAATTAATATACATTTTAAAACGTTTTATAAGCGGTAATTGGACCGACATGTTAATAACCTAAGAATATGTAGGTTCTAAGTGAACTCTATACACTACTGAAAATAAAGTTACAATAGACATCAACAATGTAAGCGTTCATTTTACTGTTTAAAATAAATGAGTTGCGCTTATGCAAAGTAATAGAAAACATTAGTAACGAACGCCTTATATTGTTACTATTATGTTTTCTACAATATAATTTGTAAAATCATTTTGCTCAAACAGAAATCGGATGATTTGAGAAAGTTAATTATAACTTAAGTTTCCGTTCCAAAAATTGGGGTTAACAATTAGTTACAAATCATGATCACAGATGGCGACACCACTACGAAAGCTTTTATTTTAAGCAAGGAAATCGGCTGTCTCGCCCAACAGAAATAAAAGATTTAAAAATTTTTTTGCAACTTTGCGATTGGATTTATTTTAAATCTTTAGAAAGATGCTAAGCTTTTCCAAGCACATTAATGAAAGGTAAAGTTCTTAATTGAAATCTGAAAAGTAAGAATGAGAACACATTACATAATTATTACACGAAAGAAAATCTAATTGCATGAATACCTTAAAATATATTTTACATTTGAAATACGACTAAGGTCAGTATTAATAAATTATGTAACTGACAACAGAACTTAAATTCAATCCACTATATTATTCAGTTGAAGAAAATTATTGGAAGAATAAACGCAAATTTAAACACCGAATTTTTGAGAAGATAACGAATGACATATAAACTACGTGCGTGTAATTTAAATTATATCATTTATATTAATCTTTTTTTATAGATTATCTTCACATTCTGTGTTAATATGAGTTGAGAAAGATATTGTCTCTTTTGAAAAGCGGTGAATAGTTCTGAAACATTTTTCGTAGATATAAACTCGAGTAAAACTTTTTAAGCAGTATGCTTTTTAAATGATGATGGGACATTTAAGGTCACAAAATTTTATGAAAGATTCGAGTGCCTTTAGTGATTCGAACTCGAGAAAATCTAAGATTCTTATCCCCTTTAGCTTTAACCCTTTCCGGCACGCTACCTTTTAAAGCTGGAGTTGTGATAAAAAATAAATAAATAAATAAATAAATAAATAAATAAAAAGGTAGGCAGTATGATTAGGCCTAGAGGAGTCTACAAGTAAAATTTTGTGAAGATGGCACTTATCGTTTTAATTCTGTGGGTGTGCCCAGAGTGGGCACATTGGTTGAATAGAGTTTCGAAAAGAGTGCTGAAACGAGCACTGTTGTCAATGAACTGACCGATGAGATGCGGAGAAACAAAGAATACAGAGTCTCACTTAGGGTTCGCCGTTTGATTTTAGGCAAGATTTCAAGGTAAAAATTTAAAACTAATATAGAATAAGCAGATTAGCATACAGCCAAAAAATAACACAGAAATTTCTTTTCAAACAATTCCTTTTATACCTTAAAAAAATCTGGAAGGTTTCTTTGAAAAATGAGGTCTTAAAAAAGTTAACAGGGCTAACATCTATGGACTCGTTTTTGTTGAGCTGCCATCTACTATACATAAAGAAGATTCAGAGTGATATATAGTAACCTATAAATCCTTTTTCAATCAATTTTTCTGTGCGTAAAGAAGGACATTTTTAGGTGTGGCCAGACCGGACACACTGTGCAACAAAGGGTTAAATAAACATCTTGTAGCTGCCTCCTTTTTTTAGTTGAAAAGGGGCTATTAGTCTCGAAACGGGATTTTGCGTCAGTTTACTAAAAACGGCGTGCTACTTTTCAAATTGTTGGCACCAAATATTACTGCCCTCTATTACTTTTAAGTAAATTAAATAATTAAAGAATTTGCACATATGTACGTTCCTCGGATTTTCAAAAAGCGACGGTGCCTAGCGTCCTCAAATTTTAAGTAACGTAGTCTTCCATCCCAGCAGTGCCCACCGGTGGCCGAGCGGTAATGTCGCTGAACACTGGTAGTTCGGTCCGAGGTTCGAATCTCGCGAACGGGCTGGCCGTATGGGTGTTTTCGTGGTTTTCACTATGTGTAACGTGTATACGAGCCAGTTTCCTTAAAAAGTCTTCCACGAAGGCATCCCTCCCTTAAGGCAGATAGCTCTCGAGTGCTTTGCCGTAATCTAATAAACCAAATCCATCCCAGCAAGTAGGAATTTTCAATTTGATTTATTTCATGTTTTGTAAATTTTTAACAAATTTTTTATTACCAATTTCAATTTGAAAATGAGCAGTAGCAATATTGTTCGGAATAAAATATTTATTCATCACAAACGCGTCAGAGTTGCCTTTCCGAAAAATATAAGCTATTTATCTTTCAACTTTAATTAACAAATACAGCTTTATGAAAGCAATGTGTTGCCACAGCCGGAAAATAAAATACTTTCATCTTCCATGCGCTAGCGGGTTGCCATTCAGTAAAGCCTAAGGTACTTTCAAATTTAATCTGGAAGTTACTAAGTAATAAATTAAACCATTTAAAAGCAATAAACACAGGTCTTAAGAATTTTTTCTACTTTTTGATGTGATCGATTTAAATAAACATGTATTAAAATTACGAGACGTCTAATTAGAAATATTCAGTATTTTATGAAATTACGTTAGCTGGACACATTAAAATTTTTATATACTTTTTCTTTTTATGAAAACTGTTTTAAGCAGCTGCCAACTTTTAAAGAAATAAAACGAATATAAAAATAGGTATGGCAAACTTTAAGATTCTAAAGATATGCTGTTTTTAAATATTTTGTAACTTTACTCATGAACTGAACTTTATGCGGTGTAAATAGGAAGAACGTGGTAGTTAATAAAGTTAACATATAAAAAGTTGATTATAAAATGGCAAAAAAAAGTTTTTAAGCTATCTTTCTACGAAAAGTACACTGTTATAAGCTAAAAAGATTAAAAAAAAAAAAAAAAAAGAGGGGATGTTAACAGTAGTGAGCGCAAGAACAGACCGATAGACTGCGAGTTCAGAGAGAGCATAAAAGACTAATCCTTCTAGGCGACAGGTAAAAATCTGAATCCTTTCAGACATTTGTTCCCCCTTCTTGTGAAATAAAATTTTGTAATTAAAATCAATGTGTTTGTATAAGTTTATCATAAAAAGATTAATTACTTATTTTTGTGACAAAATATAATACAAATTACCAATATAATTATGCTTTGGTAATGTAATAGTTTCTTTGGTAATTACACTTGTAACACAATTGTAAATTACACTTCACACATTAAATCAATATTCCTCGAATTTTAGAAAACAAGAAATGGGAAAACTGATGGCAGCATGCTGATGTAAAACTCTTTAAAAAATGTACTGCACATTTTATTTATATTCTATACCGGAAGAATTAGAGCATTTTGTAGAAGCCGCATCAATCCATAGAAAATAAGAGTAATTTAAATCTACCGCCGTTTAATTAACAGAATGCTCACAGTTCAGATATAATCGTATTTCGCAATCACGCGGCAAAACTTCAATTGACAGTTTCGCAATTCGGAGATCACACATGATACTGTAGAAAGTAACCTTAATAACGTACATGAAGCAGAAGCCGCCAGTTGTAATAGTTTTAGTTTCACCAGATTCACAAGAATGTAATTTCGTAACTTTAGCTTAAATGCTAAATGTTTAAAACAGGAAAATACCATCAACTCTCTCAGAAATTTCTATGAAAATTGGTAGAATATCTCGCAGCTCTGAATTCGGCAGATGAAAAGCAAAATCTCAAATTCCTCGTTGCTCGAATGATAATTCCTAGATTTGATTTGGTCGTACATAACTAAAAGATATGGCACAAATGCTAGAAATTAAAAGCAAAAATTACGCATAATTACTCGTATTTGTGAAATGCTTCATTCAATTAAAATAATTTAAACATTTAAGAGTATAATTTCGAACCTAAACACACCACAAAAGCCGATACTTGACAGGTTACGACCATGTTGCCATCTATCGATGAACGTTGGAAGCGCCGTAATTCTAATCGCTAGCATATAACCAAAGAACTTTAGGTTTGTAAACAAATACAGTACTTACGTATTATCGCAACCATCGCAGAAGTGGTCGCTAAGCAGAATATGTCAAACTCCGACGCGCATAACAATTCTTCTGGCAACCATGCGAATGAATGTAATATTCCAAAATCTTATTTAAAAAAAAAAACATTCAAAGCTAAAATGATTGAGCGGTGGAACTGTGATTATATCTCTTCTGATAAGGGATCTATTACAAAAATATTCTTCTCAACTATTTTTGAAAGACTGAAAAGTAAGGACTTATTGCTCAGTTTTAAAGTTACGCAATTTTTGTCTGGACATGGTAAGTTTAATATTTGTCTTGAACGATTTAAGCTGACCTCTTCCAGTTTGTGTTATTGCAATTTTACCGTTCAGCAAAGTGTTTTCCACCTGCTTTTTGACTGCCCATTGCTTGATAAAGCAAGAAATCTATTGAAATGTAGATTAAAATTAGTTGGAATTCATTGGCGCCGAAATTTTATGATTTTGTATCTTCAGCTTCGGTCTACCAAGCTTTCAACGATTTTGTTGACTTTAAAACATTGTAAATGATTTCTTTATACATTTTTATACTTTTCTATTTACTTGTGTTGTTTTATCTTTGTGTATGATTTCATTGTATTATTGAGAACTGATGATATTACTTACAATTTTGCCTTTTTTACTTACGATTTATAAGTCTCGTGTGATA